CCGCCCTGCGAGCGGCCGCAGCTGCGCCAGGCTGCGGCGCGGAGGCTCCTGCGGCCGCCGCTCTTGTGGCGGCCCTGCCGGAGTCTGGACGGGTGTTCTCGCCGTGTTTCCCCGGGCCTGTGGGAAGCGCGATTTTCACCTCGTTCCCTCCCCACGTGGAAGGAGGTGTCTCACGCGCTTGAGCTCAGCCTGCCCGCACCTCGATTTTAAAAGAGAAACCAAGGGCAGAAGTCGCCGCCTGGGCGACACCCGAGCTACCGGTGGGTTTGAGCAGCGGTGACCTCCTGGAACGCCTGCAGCACCTGGTGTTTTCCTTGTGTCCCTGTGGACGTTGCCAAGTGCACAGCGCTCCCTGTCGCTTGGTCCTGAGCTCGGTGTTCGTTTCTCCGATTTCATCTAAAGACACAGTTGCCCTCATCTTCAGGTTTAACAGGCTCGTCAGTCTAACCAGGCTTCACCCTGAACTCCAGAACTTAGGATGTCGCATTGACTCCCCACTCACGCTCCCCAGAGTCGTTGCAAGCTAAGTGACTTTTCCCAGTGAGATGACGTTGGCTGCAAGAATCCATGGCCAGTTCTTGCCTCGGAGCAGCCACGCTCCTTCGCTGTCTTTCCCTGACTGCACTCGGTTGAATCCCCTCGGCTGCGACCACCACAGGTGGGCCGTGGCCCAAACACCACTCACGGCAAAGGACAGCAGGATTTCTGCACCGGGAGCCGGGAATCGCCTTCCCTTTACACCCACTAAAACAGTGGCCTGGTGCCACATCAAACTTTCCAGCCTTAATTATTTAAAAACATATAGAGAGGTTTTATTTATAGAGCTGCTACGGTTTCTCAGCATATTCAAACATTTCCGAGGCAAGAAAGGAAGTAATGAAAATGGGGCTGGCTAGTTGCTCGGCTGGTTGGAGCTCGGTGTTGCAATACCAAGGTCAAGAGTTCAGATGCCGTGACCGGCCAGCCGCCAAAAAGGAAAAAAAAAAAAAAACCCAAAACAGCAAAGACAATCATTCCAAGAAGAGTAAGCAGCAATGCCTCTGTGGAATCAAACAGCTTGATTTGAATTCCAGTTCCTCCTCTTGCTGGCTTGTGACCTTGGCCAAATTTCTTTACCATCTTTATAGTGGGGATAATACTAGCTACTTCTCAGGGTTGTTTGGAATTAACGTAAATACACATAGAAAGCCCTTAAAAAAAAAAGTTGACTCATTTTCCTAAAATTTTATATAAGAGTTTCAGCCCCATCAAACTTTTTAAAATTATATGCTAAATAGGAGTAAAATTGGCCTGAGTTTAACTCCCCCCTTTATGTTTACTCATGCAGTGGAGTTTTAGGAGTGAAATGATGTGCTCAAAGGTAGGAAATATAAAATCGGAAGTAATAGAATTGGGGCTAGTGTGCCTGATCCACACTAGGTGATGAACCAAAAGGTGGAAAGATGACTGCCTTCTCTGACTTAATATTATATTAGTTCAGTCCCGTGGATCTATCTACACGCTTAATTCAAAGTAAGCAAAAAGTTATTCGGATCCTAACATTTATCTGGCACCATACTAGGAGCCCCAGGACTACAAGGTGAATAAAGGTCAATCTCTGGAAGGAGAGATGGGGCCCCATTCCACACTGCCTCTGAGGTTGAAACCCAGCTCCTCCTCCCTTGACAACCTGTTGTGTTCTCTGTGCCTTTTATACCTGTATTCAGGAAGCCTCAATAAATGTTAACCACTTTTTATGATCATATGGTGAAAGAGAGGGGCTGGGATCACAATTTAGTCTTGAAAAAGACACTACAGCTAACCTAGTCTTCTCAAAGATAAGACAGGCAATTGAGTGTCTTTTTTCCTAGTTCATCCACCACAGCTGTCCCTGGGTTTATATTACCATTTATAGAGGAGTCGTAATTCAGCAAACAATAAAACAGTATCTCTCGCACAATGCAGACTTCCCAGTTGGATTTCACTGTATTATTTCAATTACGCCTCATAAAGTTCTCATGAGGACAGTGTCTATTATAGTATCGTCTCCATTTCCAACTTCCTGATTCTACTCTTGCCCCTCTCTTCTCGATCCATTCTACACACTAAAGCCTGGGAAGATCTGGCTTCTGCTTCCCTCTCCCACCCCACCTTGTGTCTCTCCTTGCACCCCCCACCTCACCACCTTCTAGACCCTCTGGCCTAGCTCCCCACACACACCTGCTCTTACCTTAAGATCCTAACTGGTTCCTTTCCATCTTTGAAGTCTCACCTCTTCAAAGAGGGACTTCCTTGACACCTCCTTCTAAAGTAACCCCATGCAGTTACTGTCTATCATGTCACCCAGCTGTGTCATTCTGTGTAAACGTAAATATTATTGTGCTCATTCCAATGCACTTAGCCTAATTGGATCATCTTGTTTCTTTGTTGTCTATAACAATATACAAAATAGCACTTCTCATTACCCTACCATTACCACCATGATTCAAGCACATCTCCTCTCATCAGGGTGACTGCAGTGACTTGTCTCCCAGCTTCCACCCTGGCCTACACAGCAGTCAGGATTTCACATCTTCTGAAAATATGTCAGATCCTGTCAATCCTCTGCTCAAAAATCCTCTAAGAATTCCTCAGCATAAAAGACAAAGATTTTACAGTGGCTTTGCAAGGCAGAGTGGCAAGGTTCTTCATTCCAACTTGAACAAAAGAAAAGCCTGGTTGATCTTTGGTCACAGGACAAGTAACCACCAGAATCTGTTTTAATCAGCTGGTGACAATGCCTTGATCAGTGACTTTCTTCTGAAAGTTAGCCAATCAGCAACAGCCACACTTATAATTCTGCTTCCACAGCTAAAGGTTGATTTACCTCTAAACAGTCCAACTTCTAAGAGTCTGCCAATCCCTGGACCCCATGCCTCCCAAAACACTATACAAGATCCATGGATTTTTTATTCAGAGACACTCTGCCTTAGCACAGCTGTCCTTTGCTTAGCAAAAAATATATTTGACACTTATTTGTTACAGATGTGAATGGTTGCTCCTTCACTGGACAAGGCCTATGGGATCTATGTGATCTATCCTCTTTTTACTCTTCCTCTAACCTTATCTCCTCCTACTTTCTCCTTTGCTCACTCCACTCCTTTCTGTCCTTATTTCTGCCAGGAATACTCCTGCCTCAGGGCCTTTGCACTGGCTCTTCTGTCTGCCCAGTACATTCTCCCTCAGATATCCACATAGCTCACACCATCGTCTCTTTCCATTTCTTAATGAAACCAGCCCTCTTATCCAAAAACTGCAATTCCTACTCCCTACCCCCACTGTCCCTTAACTGCTTTTTTCTAATGACACTTATCACCCCCTGACATACTGTATAGTTTTCTTATTTACTATGTTTTTGGTTTATTGTCTGTCTCTTTGCACTAAAATGTAAGCTCCAAGAAGCCAAGGAATTTTGCTTGTTTTGTTCACTGATGCATCCCAAGCATTAAAGTAGCACCCAGCACATAGTAGATAATCAATATTTGTTGAATGAATAGGTTTTAAATGTTTTACCTCTTCAGAATATAAACAAACTCTTTTAGTGCAAAGACCTTGTGTTCACCACTGTATTCTCAGTGCCTGGCACATAGTAAGAGCTCCATAGGTATGTACTGAATGAATGCATGAGCAGGCATAGGATAAAACTATTTTTTAATGACCCAGAAATAAAACCCGATGCATCATCTTCCTGCATAGAAACATAGTTAATAAACACATTTAAAATTCCTCACATTATTATAATGTGTTAATCAAAATATTCAAAACATATTCATCACTATTTCTCCATGGATTAAGAGAGTTAATGTATTATTAGTCCGTTTTCTATTTTTAAATTTATTTATTTA